GACAAGGTTTGGTAAAAAGCCTCACCAATTTGCCTAGGTGACTACAGACCCAGACCCTTGGATCTTAAGAACAATGAACAATCCTCCCAACACTTGCACCCCCCCCTTTCCTGAGAAATGTTGGATAAAAAGCCTCACCAATTTGCATAGGTGACCACAGACCCAAACCCTTGGATCTGAGAACAATGAAAAAGCATTCAGTTTTCTTACAAGAAGACTTTTAATAAAAATAGAAGTAAATAGAAATAAAGAAATCCCCCCTGTAAAATCAGGATGGTAGATACCTTACAGGGTAATTAGATTCAAAACATAGAGAACCCCTCTAGGCAAAACCTTAAGTTACAAAAAAGATACACAGACAGAAATAGTTATTCTATTCAGCACAGTTCTTTTCTCAGCCATTTAAAGAAATCATAATCTAACACGTACCTAGCTAGATTACTTACTAAAAGTTCTAAGACTCCATTCCTGGTCTATCCCCAGCAAAGACAGAATATAGACAGACACACAGACCCTTTGTTTCTCTCCCTCCTCCCAGCTTTTTAAAGTATCTTGTCTCCTCATTGGTCATTTTGGTCAGGTGCCAGCGAGGTTACCTTTAGCTTCTTAACCCTTTACAAAAAGAAAAGGAGTACTTGTGGCACCTTAGAGACTAACCAATTTATTTGAGCATGAGCTTTCGTGAGCTACAGCTCACTTCATCGGATGCATACTGTGGAAACTGCAGAATTATATACACAGAGACCATGAAACAATACCTCCTCCCACCCCACTGGAGTGTTGTTTCATGGTCTCTGTGTGTATATAATGTCTTCTGCAGTTTCCACAGTATGCATCCGATGAAGTGAGCTGTAGCTCACGAAAGCTCATGCTCAAATAAATTGGTTAGTCTCTAAGGTGCCACAAGTACTCCTTTTCTTTCTGCGAATACAGACTAACACGGCTGTTACTCTTAACCCTTTACAGGTGAGAGGATTTTTTTCTCTGGCCAGGAGGGATTTTAAAGGGGTTTACCCTTCCCTTTATATTTATGATAGCAGCAGCTTAAGTAGTTCAGCTGGCAGAGTCCACACCTTAAAAGGGATGCTGAAAATCGGAATATGTTCAGAAAAGAGCTACAAGAATGTTTTGAGGTATGGAGAACATACCACGTTGTGAGACACTTAAGGTCAACCTGGTTAGTTTATCCAAGAGAAGGTTTAGCGTTGACTTAATCACAGTCTACATCTACCTACATGGGTAAGATTCTCCATCACATGACATCGTTAAATCAAGACTGGTGATTTTTCTGAACGATACGCCATACATAGCTCGGACAGAAGATATGGGCTTGAAGAAGAGTTTAATGGGGGAGGTTCTTTGGCCTGTGTTATGCAGGAGGCCAACTAGATCAGTGTTTCCCAGATGGTGGGTCCTGACCCACCAGTGGGTCCTGGAAGGTTACAGATCGGTTATCATGTCCAGGGCCAGAACTGGCCTAGACAAACATATACTTCTCCCAGCCCAGCCAGTTTGGAGGGGAAGCCCTGGGGGAGGGTGCAGGTTTGGAGAGCAAGCCCACCCCTTGCTCACCCCACAACAGCTGGGGCAGGCTTTCTTTCCAAATCCTGTCCGCGGTGGGGCTTCCCTCTACACCAGGCTGGGATTTGGGTTGTGGAGCCAGGCAGAGGGTGCACACGTGTATTAATGGATTACCAAAAAAAAAAAAAAAAAAAAAAGAATAGAAAATGCAGTTGGTGGTTGCCTTGGTGCAATATTTGGGAACCTCTGAGCCGGATGATCATAATGGTCCCTTGTGGCTTTAAAACTGAGAAATCTGTTATCCAGTCCCGTGCCTTGTCAGATCTCTCAGCTACGAAATAAAACACCACTAGATTATCCTATCTCTGTTCTGAGATTATTTATGCGATTGGTGAAAGTATAAAGATTCAGGTCCCAATCCTACAAAAACTTAAGCATATACACAACTTTATTCATGTGAAATTAAATGGGCCTTTTCATGTGAATAAAGTTATGCACATTCACTTTTCCCTAGCCACACTCTGTTCATTAGTCCTGGCTATGGTGGCTCTATGGCAGTGGAGGAGGATTCCCAAGGGGGCCTAATCCACCATATTTAGGGCAGATTTGTGTTGGAGGATGAGTGAAAATATACAGCAGAGGTAGCCTCTGACAAATAGTGTCTTATCTTTCCAGGAGTATAAGAATGATAATTATATTTTATGACTAACAAAAAATATTCTGTGGATTGCATTCTATTTAGTTATGCAAGATACCGTTAAGAAATCATACATCTAATAATTTTGACATATGATAATGCCAGTGGGTGTTGCAAATGCTTTATATTCCAGCACCCTGCAAGACACCACACCAAATATCTAGCAAGTTTCAAACTTCCTCTCTATAGCCAGGTAAGCATTTCTTCTTTGTAAGTTTATGGTTTTAGTTACTGTTATGATTTGTGAAGGGAATATTTGTAAGTCTTTTTGCTATAACCAGTCCATTTTAGGATTGCATGGATTAGTTCAGCTGTCCAGAATGTTACATCCCCAGAGGATCGTGTGCAAAAGGTGCAAGGCTGGGGCTCAGGAGTCTATTCCTGACTCTGCCATTATATTCCAGTGTGACTGTGGGCAAGTCACTTTGATATAATTTTCAGATGTGGGTGCCTACAGGTAATCACTTAAACCCAGATTTATGTACCTAAATAAACAGCATGATTTTCAGAATGCCTGATCCCCACAGATCCTTGTTGGTTTAAGGTAAATTATGATGCATTTATATCAGTGTAAGAGCAAAATTTAGCTTGCAGAATTTACATAAGATGTTGCAGGTGTCACCACTTTCCAAAGCATATCACATTGCTACATATAGCCATCAGCTCTTGTGAAATCTGTAATTTGCCAGCTTTTAATGATTAGGAAAAGAAATTCTCAGCAATCTTCTTACTTTTCCGTAACAAAGCATGTTGTATTAACAATAACACACAAATTTTCTTCTCAACTTCAGACGGCAGTAAATCTGTGCATATTTTTGAAAAGAGTCTGAGATGGAAACAATATATTTAAGTAAGGAAATCATATAATGAAGGACCAGAAGGGAACTCAACAGGTCATCTAGTCCAGTCTCCTGCTCTGAGGCAGGACTAAGTATAATCTAGGTCATCCCTGACACATGTTTGTCTAACTGGTTTTTAAAAACTCAGTGTTGGGGTGTCAGTCCATGATCTGTTCCACCTTGCATTTTGCTATGATGCTAGGAGAACTTTTCCAGACCCGAAGAAGAGCTCTGTGTGGCTCAAAGGCCTGTCTCTTTCACCAACAGAAGTTGGTCCAATAAAAGATATTACCTTGCTCACCTTGTCTCTCTAATATCCTTGCAGTTAGGAAATTTTTCCTAATGTTAAATCTAAATATCCCTTGCTGCGATTTAGTCCCTTACTTCTTGTCCTGTCCTCAGTGACTAAGGAGAACAATTTATCATTCTCCTCATTATAACAACCTTTTACGTACTTGAAGGCTGTGATCATGTCCCCCCTCAGTCTTCTCTTCTCCAGACTAAATAAACCCAACTTTTCCAATCTTTCCTTATTGGTCATGTTTTCTAGACTTTTAATTATATCTTTTTTTTTGCTCTTCTCTGGACTTTCTCCCAATTTGTTCACATCTTTCCCAATTGTGGTGCCCAGAACTGGACACAGTACTCCAGTTGGGGCCTTATCAGTGGTGAGTAGAGTGGAAAAATTATTTCTCATGTCTTTCCTACAAAATGAAAGGTGATGCGTATAACACAATTTCAGAGGAACAGTGGATTAGAATTTGGAAAAGGAAAACCACTACATCGTTCACTTATGTAGAGAAGAAGACGGGGGACTCAGATTCAAGTCCCTGACCAATGACTATTTAATTTACACAAAGTTGAACAGCTTCAGTGGGAGACACTCCAGAATATCTGATAGCCTAGTCATTATGGTAATCTCCTGATCAGTGAGAGATTCAAAATTGAACTCTCTGTTCCAAACCAGGAAAAGGGGAGAATTGAACCTGGGTCTCCCACATCCAGGTGAATGCCCTAACCTTCAGGCAGAAGTTATAAGGGAGAGCACCACCACCTAAATACTGGGCTAAAGCTATAGAGGAGCAAGGACCACACCACCAACCACTTAACAAATCTAACCTGAAATATTTTTTTGGTCCAAACTCTGGAAAATTTGGGCCAAATTTACAAATAGTTTCAGGTCAACCAGGATTACATTTTTTAGCAGATAAACTATTTGTCAGAAAAACTTCCCCCTCGGATCTTTTTTATCAATTTGTGAAAGTCTTGAAATAGCTACCTGGGAAGAAATCAAGGGTATCCCTTTTCAGAGTTAATGGAGATGGATTAGAGTATAATCTTCCTCTCAGTCAATCCCAGTTGCAAAATGTATTGCAATAAATAGATGTTCACACATCTTACATAGTGTAGATTTCTTTTACAATAGAATAAACTGATTTGGTGATACCTTATCCTATATTATTCAAATCATTTTCTACCCATTGTCTGTTTTTGTTACCTAGATACTAGGGGTCAAATTAGACTCTCATTTACATCCGTGTATATCTGGATTCACTCCTCTGAAGTTGCTCCAGCTATAACTGGGTGCAAAAGAGAGCCTCGTGTGGCCCTGATCATATACAAACAGAAATTGGAGCATCCAATAATCCCTCTCAGGATGCCTGATTTTGAACTCAGACTGCTATAAATCATGAGTAACTCCCCTGAAGTCAGATGGGGAGATGCACCAGTGTGTTTCATTGCTCTAAGAAACAGTGTTGGTAGAAGATTTTACTCCTTGTAGCATTGTACATTAGCCCCAGAAGTGGAAGAAAAAGGAGAGTCTCAATTTCCTGGGTGGAGGATTGGAGATGAGGCTGTTTTCTTAATGGGAATTCTTTTTTTTAAAAGTCTGTATCACAATGTTCCCAAAACTTATGCCCATTGCCCATCCTGAGGCTAGACACGAGTGTATAACTAACAAGAAAGCCACTGAAAACATCTGATGCAGTAAGAGGTTGAGAAAAGAGACTGTTGAACTCCATTGATTTGGTTTATTTTTTTCCTCGACAGCTTTTCATTTTCACAATGAACTCCATCAGTGAAGCAACTACAAAATTTTGCCTTGACTTTTTCAAAGTACTGAACAAAGATTTTCCATCTGACAATATCATCTATTCTCCTCTGAGTATCTCAGCTGCCCTGGGCATGGTCCTTCTTGGGGCCAGAGGTAATACTGCCACCCAGATAGAAAAGGTAGGCATCAATAAATCATTTGTTTTATTCCTGCATTTTTGTTCAGCAATGGCAGACCATTCCCATGTGCAATGTTAGTTGAGCTCCTCAAGGCTTTTCTTTTAATGCAGAGCGTTTTCCTTTTCCACGTGTAACATAGCCTGCACAAGTAGCAATTGTCCTAGTTAAGGTCTCAAAGGCACTTTTATATTGAATGGAATTAAACTTTATGTAGTTGAAAAAGTGCCTGGCAGAAGGTGCAGGCTGAGAACATTATTATAAACTGGAAATAACATTTCCAGTCCAAGAGCAAGAGATTTTCCCCCTCAAGCCCTGATCCTGCAAACCGCTCCATACACGAGTGTCATCATGTACATGAGTAGTGCACAATGGTACCTGGGTGTGTTATTGTTTGTGAGACTATGGCCTATGGTACAGCTTCACTTACCTTCTGCCTAGGCTGGTCTATTTTGGCCCATAGGAATGTTTGAGCCTCTTGGCCAATAGGCAAAGCCCCAGCAGCAGAAAGGTCATCTTTGATAAAACCCAGAGAAACATTTCCTCAATGTTTGCAATTTCCAGCCCCTCACATTCACTTTACATATACATTTCTGTGGTAACGTTATTGTGCACTGCCTGGTGCCTCTGGTTTTAAAGGCATTTTTTATTTATTTTGTTTTGGTGACATTTTTGTGTTCTGCATTGTACCAAAAAGGGAGATACATAGAGTAAATGGTTATTTCAGAAACGTGTGTATCTCAGACGCAGGGTCCTTTTTAGTTGCTTACTATGGACATGCTGAGCATCAGACTTACTAGTGCAGAAGTGTCACAATTTTGGGTCATAGTTATTAAAAAAATAAATTGAACATCTAGTTTGGCAAAAGTATTAACTTATTTCGGATCCCATGAGCCTGTATGAGTCAACTTTTTTCATTGGAAAATTATTTGTACTGCTCAAGCTTGGATTGCACAGGAGTTAGTACAAATCAAGAATCACGTATCATCAGTCTGAATAAATCAACTGTCATTATTAGAGCTTTGAGATGAATATTTTTCTTTGAAGGCGAGATGTGTGACCCAATACAGTTAGGGGATGTAAAGGGATCTGCAGATGAGAGGAATGAAATTAAAAAATAACCACACAGGTTCCAATGATGCTGGCACTGAAGTCAAAGGCAAAACTCATGTCCACTTAAATATGAGCAGCAACTAATTCTACATTTGACAGACAAACACTGCATTTGTTCGAATTAAACCTAACAAACTCTGAAAGCATTTCCAGTGGTCTTCAGATTGTTCCTTACATTTAGGTTTTGTAAAAAATAAGCTTTTATCCAAGTCCCAATCATGTGATAGGATCCACTCTTGCAGATTGCTGCGTGCCTGCAGAATCCTACTGAATTTATTGCCCTATTGCAACACAGTGCAAAAAGATCTAACAAACTGAATATTATGGGCAGAAATAGGAAGTGATTACCACAATCATAGAAATATAGCTCACCCTTCTAGTGATTTTAAGTAGTATTCACAAAATGGCTTGCTGTTCTTGATGTCAATGGATGGACTGGAGCATTCAGTGATAAAAGTTGAGAACACCTGCGTTTTGAAAGTGTGATGTCCATCTCCAGTAGAAAGGACAGTAGGTAAGACAGACAACTGAATTCTCTGTAACAAGTTCAGTTTCACACATTGTCATAAGTAAATCAAAATAGCGTATGACTGTTGCAATGTTACATTTCCACCTCAGGTGCTTCACTTCCGAGAATTTGCAGAAAATGAAAATCCAGGAACAAGAAGCTCTTTTGAAGCAACAAGAAGTGATGACAATTCAGAGAGCAGTCACAGACAACCTCTTCCTCCCCAGCAGCCGGTATCTTAGAACAAGTGTTGGAGTCGGAGAAACTTTGGGGAATTTGAATAAAAATTCAAAATTGGCAGATTTGAATTAAAACATAAAAATGGGGGGGGGGGAAATGCTGTGATGTTGGGTGACAGAAAGTACAGAGAGAAGGATAAAAATGTATACAAGATAGCAAAGAGTAAGGTTTAGGGTTTTTTTTATTGAAAATATTGTTCAATTATATGCTTGATTTGGGAATGCAATAGTCATAACCGCATTTACAAGTGATGAGTTCAGTTTGCATCTTGTTATTTTCCGAGCTTCTACCATGATTCTGAGCACATTTGCATGTATAACTCAGACATACAGAAAGCATTTGAAGCTCTTCTACCCTGAACATTTTTCATTATTCAACAAATTTTCAGGTGTGGTGCTCCATAAGTAACAAGTGGAAAATCCCAAAAGAGCCACGAGATTACTTAGGCCTTATAACAGGACTTTTGCACCACAGATTTCCAGCATTGTCAGGAACAAGAACAAGTCAGACAAGGTAAAGCTAGTTAAGTTATTGAATCTGAATGGTTTAATAGGAGAACAAGATTATTTTAAAAAAACCAGTGTCTCTGTTACTCTCAGCCTTCTTCAGTCAGAAATAAACTACAGCAGCTTTGTGTTATTTGAAGGTTCCTGATGATCAGTGTGATATATCTGGAGGGATTCATTCCCAGTTTAATGACATCTTCTCTGCAATCAACAAACCTACCACTTCTTACGAACTGGCTAATGCCAACAGACTGTATGGAGAAAAGACATTCAATTTTCTTCAGGTGAGTTGCACTGGGATTCACATTAGTGGCCTGTGACATTGTAGGACAGATAGAGATGAACAACATGGACTTAGTTCAGCTGAGGTCCCATTTCCTGCTGACTTGTATGTGATGTGGCAAAGTACCTTGTTCTCCTCAGCAGACTCAGTCCTTTTTAGCCTGGGAGACACTGGCTTGGGCAAGGCAAATCCTTACAGGTAGCACAGGGTCTGGTTAGTCCTTTCCCTGATCAGTCCCTGGTGCTTACTTTCCCTCCCTTCTGGGCAGGGAGTGCAGCCTCCCTTCCTGGAAGGGTTCTGTGTCTTGCTGCCCTTATTCAACTGGCAGCTTCCCTACTTCTCTCACTCTCTCATCCCCTCCCCCTATTTCCACCCCGGGGAGGGTTAAAAAAAAAAAAAAAAAAGAAAGAAAGAAAAAAAAAAAAAAAGGTCTCCAGCAGTTGGAGCCAGCTGAACCTAATTAGTTCTCTAGCAACCCCTTTTCCAGCTGAACCTTATTTCCCCATGGTTCTCCTCAGTGGACAGGGAGAGGCCTTTTAATCCCCTGGGACTAATTACTACTCCTCCCTTTTTTGTAGCTGTTTGTCCTGGGTTTACCACAGTGAGTTGTGTCCACTTAGACAAGGGGTGGAGTTGATCCCATGGAGGTACTGAACAGTAGAACAGAACAGCCAATCATCTTAAAATAAAGTGGTTCCGGAATGGAATATTTAAGATAACTTCAATCTAAGGCCTTAGTTACAGGCTCTGCTCATTTCTCCCCTGGTCATAGAGCATTATAACCTAACTGTAATTAGGTGTGTTGAACAGCACTGAAAGCAAAATGTCTAAGTGTTTACTATTACTATTTATATTATGGTAGTGCCTACAGGCCAGGATCTCCCTGGGCTACACACGGTACAAAAATATAACAAAGAGACAGAGTTATGTAAACCTCACCCTGAAAAGCTGTTTTATACAGTACATTATTGTTACTCAGGTTTGTCTTCAGCTTTGTAACTATTACTTAAATAATTACTTCAGTACATCAACAGCAAAATAAAGTTTAGAGGGTTGCTATAGTCAAAAAAGTAACTGTTTAATCATGGCACCAGATACTCAGATATATATTCAGAGTTGTATTTGTTTATTTCATTGACAAAATTAAGATTTTAATGCTTTTTACTCTTGTTAGCACTCTAGAAGTAATACAATGATAGAAAAGTGAGCTAGAATTATGAATTCTGGCTCATGCAAATTCAATAAAATTGCTAGCTATGTTCTGGGGTTTCATGCTACATTTTTAACCAATTTATTTCACATTATTTACAAGGCCTCACCATTTCATTTGTGTGAAATTTCATAGGCCCCAAAACTATTCACAAATCAGCTTTCAAAATTTGCATCTAGTTTTAAATTTTATGTGGCAGCACCATTGTAGTCATCTTTAGTTATTTTGGCTGGTGGGGAAAAAGAAACATTACAGGACAGTGCTTCAAAACATTCATGAATTACATATAAATATACAGTCATGGACACACTAAGTTAGACAGCGACAGAAGTGGCCAGACAGTATATATTGGTTTCTACTTCCAAGATAAATTCAGGGTTCTACCTGTAGAACTAACAGAAAGACCTGTAGTGGGTCCTGTTCCACCAGTTTCTCCTGTTCCGCAGTCTACCCAGGATGGAAAGTAAACTTGAGAGACCTAAGGATTGGTTGCTGCAAGAGGAGGCGCATCTATCAGATCTTTCCTCTGAATGGGAGTAGGAAGTGGCCTACGTGAAAATGGTCCCCCAGTCCTTTAGGGCATAAGCAGCCATTTAAGGACCACGAGAGGACCTGTGACAACCAGATATTCTGGTTATTCAAGAGCGACCTAGGTCCACCTTCCATTGTGTAACCAGAACCTGATGTTCTCTAAATGCCTGCTAAAGTGGCTAGGTTGCCAGGGGGCTATATGTGTTTATTGCATCTAAAAAACAGAGAGTAAATCAGCCTTACATAACAAGATCACATGGAAAAGCAAACACCAGCCTCACCACAGCAGTAGTGAGAAGTCCGGGGAGAAGTCATTATTATTTGTGATGAGTAGCATAACATAGGGGCCCCAACCAGTGATGAGCTGCCAAAATCTTAACAACAGGTTCCCTCCTCACCCCACGAGGGGGTTGTTGCCCACCCCCAACCTCCGGGACTCCTGCCCCATCCAACCCCCTCCCCTGTCCCTTGACTGCCCCCAGAACCGGGCAGGAGGGTCTCATGGGCCACCATAGTGGGTGCCCACCCCACCCCTAAGAGCCAGAGGCACCTGCCAGAGGGCGAGGTGGGGAGTCCTGGCGGTGCTTTCCTGGGGCAGCTCCCAGGAAGCATCCGGCAGGTCCCTCTGGCTCCTGTTGGGGGGAGCGTAGCTAGGGGAGGAGCGGCCGCGCCCCCCACTGATCACATCAAAAGTGGTGCCTTCGGCACTGACTCCCTGGGTGCTCCGGGGCTGGAGCACCCACGGGGAAAAATTGGTGGGTGCAGAGCACCCACCAGCAGCTCCCTGCCCCGCACCCAGTCCCAGATCACCTCCGCTCTGCCTCCTCCCCTGAAACCACCGCCCCGCTTTGTTTCTCCGCGCCCCCACCCCCACCAGCTTCCCACAAATCAGTGGTTTGGCGGGAAGCCGGGGAAAGCAGAGAAGCAGGCCGCGGCTTCCCACTCAGGCCGAGGGTGGCGGAGGTGAGCCCCCACCCCCACAGGTTAACTGCTGCGGCACGGTTGGCCCTCCTCGCTGTCCCCCCCGCCGGAGCTCACCTCCACCTCCCTGGGCCTGAGCGGGAAGCTGCCGCTTGCTTCTCAGCCCACCCAGGCTTCCCGCGTGAACAGCTGATTCGTGGGAAGCCTGTGGGGGCGGAGAAGCAGAGCAGGGCGGCGCGTTCAGGGGAGGAGATGGAGGCGGAGCGGAGGTGAGCAGGGGCCGGGGTGGGGCGGGGAGCTGCCGGTGGGTGCTCTGCACCCTCCAAATTTTCCCTTTGGGTGCTCCAGGGCTGGAGCCTAAGGCGCCGCTTTTGGCTGTAAATTTAGAAGCCCTTTTAGAACTGGTTGCCCCTCGTGGAACAACCGGTTCTAAAAGGGCTTCTAAATTTATCAACCGGTTCTAGTGAACCGGTGCGAACCGGCTCCAGCTCACCACCGGCCCCGACCAGGGTCAGGGCCCTGTTCTGCTAGAATGCTGTAGAAACATAGTAAAAGACAGTCCCTTCCCCACAACTTACAATATAAATAGACAGGACAGACACAGGAGGTAGGAGAAAAGCAGTATCACTATCCTTATTTCACAGTTGGGGAACTGAGACACAAAGATTAAATGACTCTCTCAAGGTCATACAATGAGTCTGTCACAGACTCAATCAGCTGGCGGAACTTCAAAAAGGTTCAGTGTTTGACTCTTTTATGTAAACTGTCCAAACCTATGTGGTCCTGTATCTATGCTCTACCCATCTGGTCCAGTTCCTTCTGCTCGTCCCCACACTGTCTCTAGCATGTACAAACACACTTTTGAATATTTTGTATATTTCTTGCAGTGTTGCAGAACTAAAGAACAGCAACATTTTATCCTATTCAGGAGACAGCCTAAAAAGAGACCTGTTTTCTGATATATTCTTCTGATCTTCTCTCTTATTGTACAGCAATACCTGTCCTGCATCCAAAAGTTATACCAGGCTGAATTGAAACCAGCTGATTTTCTGAATGCTGCAGAGGAAACCAGGCAGCAGATAAATTTGTGGGTTGAAACCTTTACAAAGGGTAAGGACAAGTCAGCCATTGGCTGCTATTTCTTGATATTTAATAAAAAAACAATGAGGTAAAGTGTACAAGGTGCTTAAAAACCTGGAGGAGAAAACTATTTTGTCATAATTGGAGCATGCCCAGTATGCAGTGGCAGCTCTCAGCAATTTGACCACCTGAGTGACCTGAAGATGGATCATTAATTCCCACAGAGAAAACATATTTGAGGAGAACAGAGTAGCCAGCAGACTCTGGACCTTGTACAACACCCATTGAAATCAATAGGAATTCTTCTGACAACTTCAGTGAGCGCTGGATGAGACCACCAGTGTGGTTGACTGCATGGAGTTTAAGGAATTATTCAGTCAGTTGCAAGAGGTATTGGAGCAAGGAGAGGGAACCCTTCAAAAAGTACCTTGATTTATGAGCTCCTCCACAGAGAAGCAAAAAGAAAAGGAGGACTTGTGGCACCTTAGACACTAACAAATTTATTTGAGCATAAGCTTTCGTGAGCTACAGCTCACTTCATCGGATGCATTCAGCTGTAGCTCACGAAAGCTTATGCTCAAATAAATAGGTTAGTCTCTAAGGTGCCACAAGTACTCCTTTTCTTTTTGTGAATACAGACTAACACGGCTGCTACTTTGAAATCTACAGATAAGGTAGATGACAGCACACTACTTAAAATTGACTTGGATCCAAGACTAGTCAGCAGAAAAAGAATAAAATGGCCATTTTAGGAGATGGCATCTATTCTCCATTATTCACTTGAAGCACATCAGTGTGGGGAAGCGACAAAGATGCTGCTTGTGTTGCACTTGTTCTGTGAATAGATAGAAGACTTCAGCCTCTTAGGCCTGTCAGTCTAATATCTTTCATGTGTGTCCAGTGTCATGTGTATATTCTTACACCCAGGTACATAGATGCACTGTACATCAATGTTATTACAACAGATGAATGGAACTAGAGTTACTGAACTGCCAAAATGAAATAATTTGCCTCCATTTTTTTAAGGTAAAATCAAGGACCTCCTTGCCCCAGGCACTATTTTCTTCTGGTACTAAGTTAGTCCTCGTGAATGCTGTCTACTTCAAAGGGCAATGGGAAGTGGAATTTGACGGAAAAAACACCAAGGAAAGAGCTTTTCAGATTAATAAGGTAGAGTACAGAAATACACATATCACATCATTGCTTCTATTGTTTTACATGCTTGGCAGAAAATGGGGAGCTACCATGGGATATGGCCCTCTGCCTGGTAGACCAGCTCTGTGGGTGGAGAGGGAGCTGTTTCCCAAAGCTTCTGCTAGAAGAGTGCATCATGCCTGACACATGTACAATGCCTCACAAAGCCACTTGGAGCACAGGGGAAGTCAGTGTATAAGAAGCTGTGGCCTGTCAGCTCTTCATTCAGGAGTGGAAGTGCTCAGGACAAAGCCCTGCTTTTCCCCTTCCCCTTTGGGGTTGCGGGTGCAGTTAGGTTTACTATCCTTGTAAAGATTTGCACTCATGTGAGCAAAGACGGACTGGCCCCTGAGCAGAGGCCTAGCATAAGGGTGCTTCTTGTACCTTCCCCCACTACACTCCTAATTTGGAGCAGTCCACAGTCTGGCCTCTAATTATCTTCTTCATAGACCCTTAACTGGTTTCCATTGTATTCAGACCTACAATGAGCTGTTCTGCTGCCACATTTACAATGACGGCCACCAAGCGATCCATTTAGTCTGTGTTCGGTTTCCACATTCTGTCACCAGATTGAGCTCTCTCCTCATTAAGGTTGAATACTGAAAGTGGGTTTTTTTAGGTGACATTCTGCACATTGTCCCAGTGCTACTCCCCCCACCCCCATCCCCCCATGTTGGGTGGGCAATGAATGTAGAGTAGCCAGCTTCGTATTGCTTCAGTTCCATTTCACCTTCTGTTGGTCACACATTAGCACAATGTAGCAAAAATAGGTTGGCAATGTTGCGAGGGAAACATTTGTTTAGCTAAAGGAAAATTGTTCCTAGTGGAATTTGTTTCCATGAAATTGTTTTGTGGATGTCTGTTGCTTTTAGGTTTTGTAAATTTCTGGGTCAACGTGACCTAAGAACATGCTATTATATTGAAATTTAAATTAAACAGAAGATGGAAAGCCTGTAGTTTTAATGTCCTTAGCATGGTTCTCAAGCTCAACAACCTAACTGTGAGGCACACACTGTCAGTGGCAACTACTGAAAGTGTTGGTCCAAGGAAACAGCATTAACTGTTCTTCTAAACCTTCTATTCGTCGTGGGGTGGGTGCACCTGAGTGCAGACACAGGGAGATGATAAATGGTATCTTAGCTTTAAAGGGGCAGGGGAGAAGCAACATGGTGGAATCCTGGATCATGGGGATGGGCTTTATGGGGTTTCCTAGTCCCCCCTCCCCCGATGCCTCACTGACCCCTTTCCCTTGAGTCCAAGATAGAGATGAATCTGTTGTGAGATGCTTGAAGAGATTCAAGGGGACTTTATACACCTTTCTTTAGAAGGTGCTAATCTGGCCCTAAACAATCACTGCAGCATTTGGGTCCAAGTGAAGATGTAATACAAGGAAAAATATGTAAATACAGGAGGATATATTGTATGAATTTCATTTGTTTCTAATTGTCATTGCTTTCAGACTACAAGCAAACCTGTGCAGATGATGTACAAAATGGGCGAGTATAAAATAGCTACAATAAAGGAGCATGATTGTCAGGTGCTTGAACTCCCGTACAAGGGTGATGACCTGAGTATGTATGTACTGCTGCCAAAAGACTACACGGGTCTAACACAGGTAAACTTACCTATGATGAGATGATAACCTTATAACCAGAATATGAACATGGCAATATATCTCTGACCACCTGGACAGGCAGTATAGAAGAAAATTACCTTTCCTCCTCCTTGTTGCAGAGTATGCAGCATGTTGAATAGTAAATCTGAAGGCAGGCTGCTTATGTTGTTCCTGTGTCTATTGAATTTTCAGGAAACAAACAATGAGCCAGCCTTTTTATTCTCCAAATGGGGCACAGTGACAATGTAATTAATAGCTAATTGCTACATTTTTGTATTATCAACCTTTCTAAACAATTAATACCCACACAGACTCGTCTAAAAGTGAATGAATAATAAATGCAAACAATATAGGTAACGCATCGGCAGATCCACAGAGGCTGTCTGCCACATATTGCTGCCAGACTTAACATCTGATCCATCTCCCTAACCCTTCTCCCATACAATTTAATTGCAAAACACCCATTGACTTCACTGGTGCAGGATCAAGTCCTTTAGCTTTAATGGTAGAGGTCTGAGCACTGAAGTTAAAAGTTTCACCATTGACTCCCACTGTTGACCCAGCATTGTGGTCATTATATTTACATTAAAAAAAAGAAAACAAGATTCTATAATCAACACTGGACAAACACTTATTTGGAAATCTTTAGGGTACAGCTACATGGAGATAAAAGCCCTGCAGCTGAGGGGCTAAAAATTGTGGTGTACACCTTCAGGCTTAGGCTGGAGCCTGAGTTCTAGGACTCTGTGAGGGTGGAGGGTCCCAGAGGTTGGGCTCCAGCCTGCATCCAAATGTCCACAGAGCAATTTTTCAGCCATATAGCCCGAGTCAGCTAAGATGGGCCAGCTGTGGGGTTTTTATTCCTTTGTAGACATACTGTTAGTGTACGTCATGCTACTGACCCCAGTGGTATTGTAAGAATCATGCCTGATGTGGCTACCACAGTGTGAATGAAAAATCATTTTTTCCAATTTCTCACACAGTTGCATGTCTTGTTGATTTTGATGCATAACCACAAGATTCTGATTCCCATGTATCTTTATACCTGTAGCTGGAAAAGGAACTTACTTATGAGAAATTAACAACTTGGATTAGCCCCGACCATTTGAAAGAAGATAAAGTGGAGGTGTCTCTTCCTCGGTTCAAAATCGAGACAAGCGCTCAACTTAAGAAACATTTAGAAGCTTTAGGATTGACCGATGTGTTTCACTCAGGAGTATCAGATTTATCTGGAATGGTAAAAACAGATGGCCTGTCTGTGAGTGCAGGCTGTCCATAAGGCTTATGCAGAGGTCAATGAAGAGGGCACTGTGGCAGCAGCTGCAACTGCAATTGGCCTAAGTGGATCCTCAGTAAGAATACCTGTACAGTTTGTGGCTGATCACCCTTTCCTCTTCTTTATTAGACACCAAAAAACCAAATGCATTCTCTTCTATGGTAGAGTCTCTTCTCCTTAAGAAAATTTCTAATTAACATGGATGAGATTCTGGACCATGGAACCATGATATGGAAAATACAATGGAAATGTTTATTTTCTTCATTTTTCTCTTTTCCTTCCACTGTATCTTGCTAGTGACTCCATAGTTATGGGTGAAAATGCACACTATACTCATAGCAGGACTCATGTGACATTCTTTTGATGAACATGTCCTACATTGTCTGTTGCTTCTCTCCCCCACAAGGTTGCTTCTGGTTCCTACTTAAAGAATGTCCCACTCTCTCAGCACCTGAGGAAGGGCACCTCTGCTAAGTCCCAGCTCACTAGGAATCTCCTTGAACCAAAGCTTTGCTAACTAGTAGTGAAATAAAGAACTATGAATTTTATTAATCATCCTGAACTGAATAGGTATCAACACAAGCATTGACCAAACTCTTGCAGTGGAGAACCTGGCCCTGAGTTGTAGCAATGTAACAGGTGAATAATCAGGCTCATTGTTTTCACAGTTATTGTTATTGCCCTTCTGCCACCTTTACTACTTCTGGAGGAATTCTGTGCCAAAAAATTAAAAACTCTGTACACAATATTTTAAAATTCTGCAAAATTCTTCTTTTTAATTTGGGAAAACAACACAAAATAATTATGCCAGTTTCAATTATTTTGGTAATTAATTTCAAAATATCTATCAGCAAGTATGTCTGTAACAATACAGACAAAAATATAGCCCAGAAATGTTTTTTGATTAATAGATTCCTTATTAGGCATATTCATACAGAATTTTGTGTAATGATTAATTTAAACTAAATTAATACAGATCTTTGTGTAATGATTCATTTAAAGTACACCTGTACTCACAGAGAGTTGTGTTTACTCCATGAGGAATCCTGCTGAAGTGAGTAGGACTACCGGGGAGGAAGGCAGTACTCAATATAATGTGGAGCAAGAGGGAGAAGGGAGAGCTGGAAAACAGAGTCTGACCTCTTAGTACCTGAATATAAAGTTAACACTGTACACCGATACAAACTCCTACAGTCAGGGTGTGAGTTAGGGATGCTGTGGGAACTTTGTACTTCCTGACACCTGCATTGAAAACTAACAACAAATGTTGCTGTGACCCCAGAACCTCTTAATACCAGCTGGCAATGGGGTGCAGAGGGCTCCAAGGTCCTCCTGATTCTCATTCATCAAAAGAGCGTCATGTGAGGTCAGAAATAAGAGTCCGTGTTGCACTCTTCATCAATATCTGTTGTGAAATGTATGTGAGGATACCATGTAAGGAGTGGTATATCTATACTGAACGTATGTTCTTAAAGTCTGTGTCTGGGGGTTGGTCACCAGCAAAGGTAAAAAACAGATTTTTTGTCAAACAAGAGATGTTCAGCCACCTACATATTTACATGTACATTGAGCATTGTCTCATTCACAATGGGTCTCCTATCACCAGTCTGAATGGAATGAAAATAAAAGGATTGTGAGAACTTCAGAAAGGAACTAATAGGAAGAAAACAGCAGGGAGGGAGAACCTTATCTTGAAGTGCACCTCAATGGTTTGTTCTACTATATTTGGGGGGCAAAGACAACACCCAGGCATCCCTGAGCTAGGAAGGAAATGGACAGCAGATTTGCTTCATGAAGGTGGGATCTCAGCCAGGCTGGGCTGAAAACACTGGAGAGAACTTTGGGTGAGATAAGCTTCTTTAGTAGCTGGTCAATTTCTTAGTTAAGTTTAGCTAGTCTATAGAAAGAGCGTTATTTTGCTTTATATGTAACCATTTAATTCCAGTATTTCTTGCTCACTATTACTTGAATCTCTAGTCTTTGATAATAAATGTATTCTTGTTTTCACTATAAACATATCTAAGTGCTGTGGTGTGAAGTAAAGGAATGATCCTGAGTTGAATTTTACAAGCTGGTGTGTACTGTTTCTTTGGGAACGGCAGGCTTGGTAATTCTGTGATTGGTCAGTGGATCAGGGACCAGACACTGCAGGGAACGCTCTGAGGACTCGAGGGTTGATGTGTGTCCATCACTACTTGTGCAGAGAGGACAAGGCCTGAGGGATTCTGGAGGGCAGTGCTTGTATTGCCAGAAGCTGTTGGTTTCACGGAGCTGATCCACAGCAGGCACAGACATGACTGCTTCACACTAAGGCCAGAAGGGCGTGAGGTGCCTCAGAACCCTGGGTACCCCTGGGGAGCGTCACACTTGCATTAGCAGTTTTAAAAATCATTTAATTGGTTATAATTTGACTAAGTCCAGTTGTTTGCCACGAGCTGTGAGACTATTGTGACAGGAAACTTGGGATCTTCCAAATTTCATGTAGCGATTTCCTGCCAGTTGTTTAGAGTTTAACACAAAATTAGAAAATTTTGTTGACTTGTCAGAAAAATTTAAATTGTAATTAACCAATTGTCTTCCAAAAGGGCAACTGGGGAAAATAACTCTCTTTCTGCAGCGCTCTCGCGACTGTAATTTTATGGCTTTTCTTTGGTGAAGTATTATAGATGTATTTTGCTTTTGACCTTTTAATTTGTGCAATTGCAATGCATCTATACCGCTATCAAGTCAAAGATTCAATAAATCACTACGTATTTTGTCATTTTCAGTAGTGGCAGGGAAATAAGCCAAACAGAAGTTGAAGACATACCTGTGTGCATGTGATAAGAGTGAAGCTGCAAGAGTATAACACTACTATAAATGGTCACATGGTGATAGACAGTATGTAGACCCCTTGTTCCAGACAGCACTTGGGCATGTACTTATATCCCACTGTTTGTAATGGGACTCAAGCAGTGCTTAGCATGTGTTTAAGTGCTGTCCTGAATACTCTCCTCAATCACGGCTATAACATACACCTTCTAATAATAATTTTTAAGGGACAAGTGAGTACTAATAATTAATATCGATATTTTGGCAATGCTACTCAGTTTCATTTTCCAGTTTTATACTCCCCTGTTTCCTAATCATAAATGGGGAGTCTTAAAACATTGTTTCTCTAATAAACCAATATAATCTACCTAGACCAGTTTTTAGCATACATTTATGTCCCCTGAAAAAATGTGCAAAAGAAAGAAGTTGAAATCTACAGGTACTACTCTGTACATTTGAGGTGAAAAACAAGAAAGCAGCCTTCTGCCTGTAATTTAGGGCTTGAAGCAACCCCCTGGGAACTGGGAGGGAAGAGTTTGGAGCAGGCACCAGAGAGCCTGTCTGTGCACATGGCTGGAAATGGCACTGCAGTTAAGCTGGTGTCAGTTGCAGTCATGGCAGGTGCACCACTTGTGGCTGGGTGGTGTAGCAGCTCACCATCTAGCACCCCTTGCCGACAGCTTCTACGGCCCTGGTTGGTGCCTCTCTTCTCATGACTTGGCCTTCCTGCCATCTTTAGAGTCCCTCTCCTTCCAGAGTTTCCGTGTGCCACATGTACAGTGCCCTACACAATACTGGTCATCGATCTGCCATCCTCCTCCCATCCCAGACTCCTCTTCCACTCTACTCTTCTATCAGACTTGCAGCCCCAAGGCTTCTCCCTGGAGTCTATTAACCCAACCCAAAAGCAAAACACAGATTTCAGGGAAAGCAGTGTCAGGCCCTTTTCCAGGCTTGAACTTTTAAACCATCCTGTGTCCACACACCCCCTCCCGCAAAGCTCTCCATTCTTCTGCAGAGTACTGACTTTCGGGGACTACCCTCCTTAAGTCTTGCCCTGTTTGGATCTTCAACTCCAGTCCCTCCCAATGCTTTCTGCCTGTGGGGTGGCCTTATCTCAGGCCCACTTCAAGATTCCCCTTCACTCCTGCTCCCTCTTCCATCAGGACCAAGGTGTAAATGTCCTCCTGAACTTCCTCTGTGCACTATTACCCAGAGAAAGTCCTTTTCTACTTTGGGCTTCCTCCCTTTACAGAAACCATATACATCCTTCCCCAGCTGGGACTCATCTTTAACAGGCCAGACCAGGCCTGCCCTCCTCATGCCACCACCTGTGTGTATTGGTCTCTCAGGCCCACATTAACCATTTCATCACCTGTGTGCAGTAAACACCACATCACACATCTCTGTAAACAGTTCTCTTAAAAAAAGAGTAGTTTCATTTTAGAAACATTCTGTGACATTCTGCACCCCAAAGCACCCCATATTTACCATGGTGATGTAATTATGATATGTTTTGTACAAAGTATGCTTTGTAAGGTATTATTCTAAACGTCTTGACCTGTTGAACATTAATATCCTGTTGGAAGGATGTGCTATGCTCATATAAAAAGTTATGAAGTTTTGCTATGTGTGTGTTACTGAAAGATGTTGTGAAGTCGGAAACGCCCACAACTAGCCTTTCAGATACAAGGATGAAGAAGCTAGACAGTGCTAATGGCTCATCAACAAAGACAATGGACCATGGAAAGGGCTTGTCCTCACCTGGGGACCCTTCACCCAGCCTATGAATAATTGCTTCTATGACTCAGCAAGGCATGCAAGGGCATGTGACCAGACCACAGGACACTAAACTCCATTTTGGTACCTGTATTTTTCCACAGACTGGGCTGGGAAGCTGGCTTGAAACAAAGGGGTTCCTGCCATAGGAGAAACTATATAAGATGGGGAGTGTTATCTTTTGGTCTTCACTCCCCCACAACTCAACACTGAAAAGAAATGCTGGAAGATAAAGTACTTTGCATAGGGGAGTGGGAAACCCAGGCTACAAAGCAGATGCAGCCTGTGCCTCAAGAATCTGTAAGCCTGCTTGTACCATCAGTTAGGGTGAGATATTGCTGATTCAAATCCTATCTAGTATATATGACTTAGATTGCATTTTGTTTGATTTCTTAGGTAACCTGCTTTGATCTGTTTGTTATCATTTATAATCACTGTGTGGTTTTGAGTGACATGTTAGGGAATCTTTGTTCTGTTAACACAGGTGGGTGCATATCTTCCCCACATTGAGGGGGAAGCGGACTAATTTAATGAGCTTGCACTGTACAGAACAGACCCCTCTGCAGTGCAAGATGGCACAAGTCTGGGTGTATACTCCAGTGGGGGTGTCAGGCTGGGGAGCTGGGAAATTGGCTAGGGCCTCCATTGTTGGTCCATGAGTGGCTTAGGCAAAGTCCCCAGGTGACTCAGTTGGGGGTGTGGCGCCACCTGCTGTTGTGCTGGGTGATAACAGGGCCTGGAGAGGCTGGGTGTGAGTTGCTGCAGAGCAAGTGTGGGAAGCCAACCCAGCTAAATAGTTAGGGGCCAGTTCCAACAGCTTCCAGGTTTCACTCCGGGTTCCATCCCATCACACATGGTTCTTCTCATCTTATTACCCCCCATGTGATATGTGAAACATGGTGGCAGTGGTCAGTCTAACGAGAGACAATAAGAGTGTGTGATTAATCGGCAAACAAAGCAGTACCGAGAAACAGAGGAAACATGCAGCATGCAGGGGCTCAGACCAGAAAGCTGCCAGCCGTTCAACTACTATGTTTGCAGCTAAGCTAGTAGATCAATGACCAGTTCAATTCCAACCAGCTTGACTAGAACACAGAGGCTGGACTTACACTAGAAACTACAGCTCTATCTGCACCACTGTAGCGCTGTTCCCGAGGTCAGGCACTGGAGCAAGCAGGGTAGCAGCCAAGGAGCGGTTCAAGGCAGGGGCAGGGCTGGGTGCAAGGCAGGAGCAGCAAGAACAAGGTAACACAGGAGCAGGCACAGTTGTGGTGAGCATGAGTGTTTAGAAACCAGCAAGCTGCTGCTGCTGGCTTAAGTGCCAGCCTGCTGCTCTCTGTAGCCAGTCAGGGTGTGAGGCTAATCAGGCAGCCTGCCGCAGACCAGCTGTAGTGATGAGGCTGCCTGGAGACTAGCTCTGCTGGAGGCCCTGATTCCTGACAGTACTACAGAAAAGGCTCTGGGAGTTATAGTGGATCACAAACTAAATATGAGACAACAGTGTAATACTGTGGCAAAAAAGAGAATGCATTCTGGGATGTATTAGCAGGAGTGTTGTAAGCAAGATACAAGAAATAATTCTTCCACTCTCTCAGAACTGATGAGGCCACAACTGGAGTACTGTGTCCAGCTCTGGGCCCCACACTTTGGGAAAGAGGTGGACAAACTGGAGAAAGTCCAGAGGACGGTAACAAAAATGGCTAAAGGTCTAGAACAGTGACTCTCAACCTTTCCAGACTACTGTTCCCCTTTCAGAAGTCTGATTTGTCTTACATACCCCCAAGTTTCACCTCACTGAAAAACTACTTGCTTACAAAATCAGACATAAAAATACAAAACCGTCACAGCACGCTATTACTGAAAAATTGCTTTCTCATTTTTATCATGTAATTATAAAATAAATCAATTGGAATTAGGGCCATCAAGCGATTAAAAAAATTAATCGCAATTAATTTTGCAATTAAAAAATATTATGATTAATCACGTGATTAATCTCGCTGCTAAACAATAACAGAATGCCATTTATTTAAATATTTTTGGATGTTTTCTACATTTTCAAATATATAGATTTCAATTACAACACAGAATACAAAGTGTACAGTGCTCACTTTATATTTATTTTTTATTACAAATATTTTACTTTTGTAAAAAACTAAAGAAATAGTATTTTTCAATTTATCTAATACAAGTACTGTAGTGCAATCTCTTTATTATGAAAATTGAACTTACAAATGTGGAATTATATAAAAAAAAAAACCCCTGCATTCAAAAATAAAACAATGTCAAACTTTAGAGCCTACAAGTCCACTCAGTCCTACTTCAGCCAATCACTTAGACAAATAAGTTTGGTTACAATTTGCAGGAGATAGTGCTGCCCACTTCTAGTTTACAATGTCACCTGAAAGTGAGAACAGGTGTTCTTATGGCACTGTTGTAGCCAGCGTTGTAAGATATTTATGTGCCAGATGTGCTAAAGATTC